TGAAATCGGCTAGCCCTTTTTAGTGTACCAAACTAGTGCCCATTTCACCAACAAAGGACATCTTTATATAGTGTGGAGGATTAGGGTTAAACCCTAATACCCATGACCTTTCATTTCTTAAGATCCATGGTTTAAACACTCCATGGACTATCCATGAAAGCTTAGCCCAACCTAAATGAACTTGGCCCATTCCATATATACAAGAGTCCATATTTAATTAGTTCATTTTGATCACTTAATTAATTCTAAATTAATTCTTGATCAATACTAATTAAATAATATGATTCCATATTAATATATTAGAACTTATAATATATTAATATTAATCATAAACATACTATTCTCAAAAGATTATCCATATAAATTGTGTCGGTGAAGTGCAACCCAAATGGACCATGCCGGGTCGGGTCAAGTACATATCAAATATAGTTATGGACTTAGACATTAATCCAACACCAACTTCCTCCGAAGTCTAGGACACGGGCATGCAACATGTCGTCGAGCATCTGAATCGTCCGCTCGCTCTGCCTATCCGTTTGTGGGTGATACGCAGTACTGAAATGCAGCAGAGTGTGCCTAACTCCTCATGAAATTTCTTCCAAAACCTGGAAGTGAAGTGAACGTCTCGATCCGACACAATAGAGATTAGTACACCATGTCGTGCAACCCATCATGCCGTGCAACCACCTCTCTCACATAAATCTCAGCCAATTTTTCTGCAGAAGAGCTCTCATTAATAGAAAGGAAGTGATCACTGTTCGTCAGCCGGTCCACGATCACCCAAATCGTGTCAATTCCACGCGCAGTCCTTGGTAATTTGGTGATAAAGTCCATTGAAATCTGTTCTCACTTCCACTGGGAATCTCCAGAGGCTGCAATGGACCATGTGGACGTTGGTGCTCCGCCTTGATTCGGCGACAGGTCAAGCACCTCTCAACTACCCAAGCCACGTCTATCTTCATGCAGGGCCATCCCTAATCTCTCTTCAGGTCTAGATACATCTTAGTGGCCCCGGGATGGATCGAAAATTTTGATCTATGTGCCTCCTCTATCAATGAATGTCGATCTCCACCCTAATAGGGCACCCAGATTCTCCCTCAGAAAGTCATAAGTCCTCGACTATCCGTCAAAAACTCAGGTACCTTCCCAATCACCCGCTCCCTCTTGCGGTTCTCTGGTCTAATAGCCTCTACCTGGGCCTCTCGAATAGTCTCCAAGATCGGATTCATCACCATCATCCTCATGAACATGTCTCGAATCGAGGCACACTCTACTCTGTGGCTCAGATTGTCGGCTACCATGCCTTGCCCGGGTGATACAGAATCTCACAGTAATAATCTTTCACCACATCCAACCATCTCCTCTGATGTATATTTAGGTTGGGTTGATCCATGAGATACTTCAGGCTCTTATGGTCCGTGTACATGGTACACTGAACCTCGTACAAATAGTGATGCCATATCTTGAGGGTGAACAACATTGCCCCCCAACTCTAGGTTGTGGGTGTGATACCTCGTCTCATGAGGATTTAGCTGCCTCGATGCATATTCTATCACATGCCCTCTCTTCATTAACACCACACCCAACTCGGATATAGATGCATCATAGTAAACCACAAACTCCTCCATCCCCTCAGGAAGGGCTAACATCGGGGCTTCGCACAACTTCTACCGAAGAGTCTCAAACGAGGCATGCTGCTCGGGGCCCCAAGAAAGTAACACCCTTCCAGGTGAACCTGGGGAGAGGAATGACAATCTTGGAGAAATCTTTGATAAATATCTGATAGTAGTCGACCAAGCCTAGAAAACTCCTGATCTCGGTAAGGGACCTCATTACCTCCCACCTCATAACTGCCTCAATCTTGGCCGGATCAACCAAAATACCATTTTGGTTAACGATGTGTCCCAACAACTGGACCTCTCGTAACCAGAATTCACACTTAGAGAATTTGGCATAAAGCCTCTCTACTCTCAATACTCCAAGAACCTCCTTCAAATGCTCTTCATGCTGCTCTCTGGATGTAGAATACACCAAGATATCGTTGATGAACACGATCACCGACCTATCCAACATGGGCCTGCACACCTGGTTCATGAGGTCCATGAATGCTGCCGGGGCGTTGGTGAGTCCAAATAGCATCACCACGAACTCGTAATGCCCATAATGAGTCCTAAAGGCCATCTTCTGGATATCCTCCTCCCAAACCCTCATCTGATGATATCCATACCTCAAATCAATCTTGGAAAACCAAGATGCCCCCTGCAACTGATCGAACAGATCGTCGATCCTCGGAAGTGGATAATGGTTCTTGACCGTTAGCTTGTTCAACTCCCGACAGTCAATGCACATCCTGAGTGACCCATCCTTCTCCTTGATAAAAAGGATCGGTGCTCCCCATAGCGAACTACTCGGCCTGATGAAGCCCTTTCCCAACAATTCCTGGAGCTGCGAGGATAACTCCTGCATCTCTGGCGGCGCTAGGCGATAAGGCGCCATGGCGATAGGCGTCGCTCCCGGGACCAAATCAATCAAAAACTCCACCTGCCTCTTGGGAGGCACCCCCAGCAACTCCTCGGGATAAACATCCAGAAACTCGCCTACCATCAGGACCTCAGAAATAGAACTCGACCTCCATAACACCGCCAGTGAATCCAACACATACGCCAAGAATCCCATACAACCCTGATGCAAGCTCTACCTACCCTTGGCGGTAAAGTAGAAAGCTGACCCAGATCTGGTACCCTCGCCATACACTGAAAGTACTCCCCCACTAGGGTCTCGAATCATCACCAACCGACGCTAGCAATCGATTACTACTCCAAACTGACTCATCCAATCCACGCCCACGATAACACAAACATCTCCCATTGCGATTGGTACCACGTCTATCGAAAACTCAACTCTGAAAATCTCTATCATACATCCTCGGAAAACATTAGTGGCAAAACCGCATGCTCGTCAGCTATAGAAACCCTCAGAGGACGACTCAACACCTCATGCTAAGTACTAATATGCTAATTAAAAGCTATAGACACGAAAGACTGACTCGCACCCAAGTCAAACAATACAAAATCAGGGACAAAATTCACAAAAAAAGTCCCTATACATAACACAACAATAATCATTATTATAACTCGCAATAGCGTAAAGAAAGGAATACATATCATCCACGGGATCAACCAAATTCCAAACTTGGTTTCCATGCATAAACTAAATCTCGCTTTCCATGCTTTCCTTCCACTTAGCAGCCTCAGTGCCTACCATCTCTTCCCTATAGTTGGATGGCTCATCCATATCAACCAGTGTACGATCACTGATTAATACGTCTCCTTCTGTGCTCACATGGAAACCATAGAACTCAGGAGGAGCACGAACTCTATTGGATCTGGGAAGGGGAGGTGGAGATATATCATTTTAATCAACAGGTTGCTCAGCCCCAAGTTAAGATTCCTCAACGGGTTGTTGCACCTCTAGTTGAGTGCATGTATCTACAAAAGGTTCTTCTTCATTTGACTCTTGAAGCTCTTCAAGGTCTATGTGGCTCCTACTGTCCTCTTTGGAAATGAGATCCCTCTCAAGGAAGAATCTCCTTCGAGCAACAAACACCTTGTTTTCCGAAGGCTTATCGAACATGTATCCAAATGACTTTTGTTGATAACCAATGAAGTAACACTTCTCTGACAAAGGTTTGAGCTTGTCATTTGCCTCACGACGAACAAAAGCTTCGCATCCCCAAACCTTTATATATGGTAGAGAAGGACGTGTCCCACTCCACATTTCAGAGGGTGTTTTAGCAACCCTCTTAGTAGGTACAAGGTTTAGGATGTGGGTGGCTGTCTCTAAGGCATACCCCGAAAAAGATATCGGAAGTGTAGCTCGAAAAATCATAGATCGAACCATGTCCAACAAGGTTGGACATCTCCTTTCAGCTACACGATTCAATTGTGGTGTTCTGGGAGGAGATAATTATGAAACCATTCCACAGTGTAAGGGTATTTTGGGATTGTAATAAGTCAAAGTCTTTTGTACTCTTCGTATGAATTATAATATATTTTACTATGGCATTGTATTCGAAGCTTAATGTTTAGTCCTTAGCATATTTTTTGTACTCTTTTCTCTCCTATAAATAGGAGTGTTTACTAGAGTTAGATAGGGGGCTTTTGATAGAATTATCTCTTGTACTCTGTAAAATCATAAGGGCGTAATAGAGCTGAACCAGAAATCATATTTACATTGGTGTTCAAATCTTGCAATATTACTTTTGATCATTTGTTACTCTGATTCATTACATACTTGATTCATTGTCTCATCAATTGGTATCAGAGCAGGAATCATATCTCTGATCTGATTTTCATCTTTTCAAAAGTTTTTAAATCAACCTTTTGATTTAAGAAATTCCACACTTTTTGAAAGTGAAAAAATCATTAGATCTAAGTCTATGATTTGATTCTGCATTTGAATCATTGAATCGAGTGTTCTACTAGTGATTCTGGTTTGAATCATATAGTTTGTTGTCAAATTGTTGAAGTTTATTAAAAAATTCTCAAGGTTTTCTTCTGTACATCAATTGCGCCTTTCAATCTTAATTCCATGACTTCATTCTCTCATCTTTTAGGTTCATCCACCAAAATTCCTATGCTAATTCCTAAGTATTACGATCAATGGGCTGATCGTATGCAGGATTATCTCAATGGATTGGATGAAGATTTGTATTTCTGGTGATCGCAATCCACCGTCAAATATTCAACCAATTTGATCATCTTCTGGAAATTCTGAGTTAGAGAATCAATCTGATCATCTTAAAAAACTACACTTATGGTTGTCCGAAGGATGCAACGGATGATGTAGATGTATTTCCATTTGCTGCTCGTATCGTTGAAGCCATGTTAAAAAAAATTGATCCTTCCAACCCAGTATTGGTTTCTTACATAGAATCCATAGATACTTCTGTGGAAACTGGGATTCTCTTATAACAGACAACTGAAAATAAGTCAAAGAAGATGAAGAAGACTGATGCTAGGTCTTCAGGTACAAAGGTTACGACATCAAAGAGTACGAAGCAGGTTCCTGTGATCGAACCTGAGCCAATTCAGCCGGAACCTATTATTCCAGATACCCAGGAAACTAAAAAAGAAGTCGTTCTTTTGAAGACTGGTGTATTGAGACAAATCAAGATGAAGTCGAAGCACAAGCGTCAATCATCTAGTATGCATGTTGTTCGTAAACCCCAAGTTTCTCATCAAGGGGTGATTTTTTGAGAAATACTGCCCCTGCTTCTCCTTCTTCGAAAAAGTGATTGGCTGTTGATATGGCAAAACAACTATCAAAGAAGAAAAAGTGAAGGGTGATTCTTACCTCAAAATCTACTGCAGAAGAGGGTGAATCTGTTCCTGAGGCATATGAGATGGTTTTGATTAAAGATTCTTCTCGTGTGGATACATCTGTTATTACACCGCCCGAAGTTTTGATTGCCAAGATAGTTATTGTGGAGGCTCGAACTTCAGGCATCCCTGTAAACATATCTGATATGGATACAAATATCATCATGGGTGAGGACGATTTGAATAAAGCAACAAAGGTAACCCTTCAAATGTGGTTTCGGATTCGAATGTGGTTTCGAATGGGTGAGGACGATTCGAAGATAGCTACTGAGAGCTGAGAGGAGCTTTGCATCCTATTGTTTACAACTATGTAAGGAGTTGTACAACTGCAAAGGAGATATGGAACAATCTTAAAGAAAATTTTCAACGGAGTGAGAAGACAAAAATTAATTCTGTGAAACAATGTTTGGTGAAACTTAAGGACTTCAGACAGAAAGATGGTGAAACAATCGAGGTTTATTAAGATCGTCTTAATGAATTAATCTATCGATGTAATCGATATGGATTCACTAGATCAGCCGTGGAGTTCAATTTAATTTTTGTTATGGGTCTTCGTAAGAAATACAACCCAAATGGACCATGCCGGGTCGGGTCAAGTATATACCAAATAAGTTATGGACTTATACACCTTATCCAACAAAGAAGAAGAAGGAAGAAAAGAAAGATGTGAAGGTTGTTGAGGGAAAAACAGAGAAGAAGTTGAAGGGAGATGGTGGTATTGATTGTCATTATTGCAATGGGGCTAATCATTAAGCTAATGACTTCATGTTAAGGAATAATGGTGAGAAGAAGAATAAAATGAAGGATGAAGTGTATTATGTGGAAAAGTTGGAGCAGTTGCATACGAAGGCAAAGAATCTTTCATTAGTTGCTCATGGCGAACAAGAAGAAGATGGAACTCATCAAATCTGGTCATCTGGATCAGATGATAAGGAAATGCAAAATCCGACCCATGGAGCAATGTATGCAAATATGGAGGAAGAATTAGAGGAGGAGGCATACGAAGTTTGTGGGAGATGCTTCGTATCAAAATCCGCTGACAAATCCCTGATGACCACAAAGGTACGTAATATTCTTGAATCTTTTAATATTCCAGTTCATGTTTATAATTCTGAATTAGTATCTTTCGATGAAACTGTTACTTATTTTGATTCAATTGTGGTATTTGCTAGCAATGAGGCTAAGAAGTTGTCTGTTCAATTGTTAGAGACACAGAAGAAACTAGATTCGAAAATTGCTAGGATAGATTTTTCAGAACTTCAAATAACGAATATCATGGTTGATAGGGATAACTTGTCTAGTGAATCTAAACTGTTGTTAGCACAGAGGAATATTTATTGTAATTCGGCTAAAAGATTGTATGGGAAATTAATTGAACTACATCATTCATGTGAAATAAGTAAAGAACAACATAGGAAATTGCTGCCATTTCTAGCTTTTGAAAGAGCTATGGTAGATAACATTTTGTATGATTGTGAGAAAGAAATAGCTGAATTTGACAAAGTTCCTGATGATAGATATAGATATGGAATTGTCAAAGTAAATGAAAATCTTGATACTAATGATTTAGTTGAAATTGTAAATGATACTTTGACCAAGTCAAAACAAATTTAAATTTTGAAAAAGACTAAAGCTTCAAAATCTGATGCTCAATCTAACTTTGCTGATATTGAAGATAATTTTGACAATATTAGTGAAGTTAGTGATCTTGAGGATGTTGATTGTTCTCAGTTATCTATTATTAATATTGCATCTTCATCTAAAGGGAAAGAAAATATTAATGATTTGTTTGTTAAGAATGATACGAAACAATCCTCAATTTCGAAAGGTTGTGATTTGGACTTCGTGGAAATCTGAAATAGTCAAACAGATGATACTGATGATGAAAAGGATGAGGAACATTCGAAGGAAAAGGTATTGTCCAAAGATGACAACATTCCTCGAATTGTAGTTGATCAGGTGTATGGTGATACACAGCAGTATGAAAAAGTGATGAAAGAACAAGGTGCTCATTATCTTGAAACAAATACAGTGGTGTATCCAATTTTCAAGTGTTCGGATGATGTTGTGTTTCCAAATCAAGTATTCGTAACAACTAGATATGTGGAAAAAGTCAAACCAGAATTCAAGAAATTGGTGGAAGAAGATAATTTTAAAACATCAAATGAAGGGTTTTTCACAAATCAAAGCACTGTTTAAAACAACTTAACAAAGAATTCTTATGTTTTTCATAGACAAAAATCTCAGAGAAATGGGTGGAAAAATTAAAAATTAAAAAACAAGTCAATAAACAAACTTTTGAAGAAATAAACAATGGAGTAAAATTAAATTCAAAAGAATTCAAAGAAAAATTTGAAAAATTTTCAAAAGAAAATCAAATTTCAAAGAGACAAGCTCGAAAGAAAATATTTTGTCAAACAATCGAATCTAGAAAACCAACAAAGAAAAATCTTGTTCATTCAAGAAAACATGTGTCTGAATCAAAATCACCAAAGTTTATTTTCAAAATTAAAAATTCATCTTTTTCAAAAAGAGAACAAGTTTATCTTCCAAAAACTAATTCAAAAATTGAAGAAAGATCGACATCAAAGTTTTCTCAAAGACAACATTTTAAATCAATAGTTGATACTTCCTATGCTGAATCATATGTTTCAAAACCAAATTTTGATTTTGATCCTCAAAAGCTAAATTTTCCTAATCTTACGAAGAAACAAAATAATGAAAGCTTCGTACGAAAAAGGCACAACTTCATGAAAGAATACTGATCACTGGCTCGAAGGGAAATGCAAAATTTATTAATCAAGCAAATATTCGAAAGACCAAATCAACGAAGCATATGAGAAGTATGTCAATACTTCTTCAAATGGCATTTCGTCATCAAAGGATTTGAATATCTTGGTAAAAGCCTAGAAACCAGTCATAAAAGCGAAGACCGAACAATCACAAACTTAGAATGCGAAGGGTGTTGTAAGTATACATACGAAACATACAAAACCTTATGTTTCAATCCCTACAAATGAAACTGTCTATATTATTAATAGTCTCAAAATTAAAGTTTGTGATTTTGTCAATAGTTATTCTTTATTGAAACCTAATTTCCAAGGACCCAAAAAGCCTTGGGTACCTAAATTCTTTCAATGATTACAGATACTATGTGACGAGCTATACGATAACAAATGGTATCTTGATAGTGGTTTCTCTCGTCACATGACTGGAAAGAAGGAGAATCTAAGAGACTTTCGAAGCTTACAAAATGATGGAGTTGTCAAGTTTGGAAACAATTAGAAGTGTCAGGTCAAAGGATATGGGAAGATCACAAATGAAAAATTCATAATGAATCGTGTTGCATATGTAGAAGGCTTACAGCACAACTTGATAAGTGTATCACAACTTGTGGTAGGCACTGGAAATCAAGTACTTTTTAACGAAGAAGGAAGCATCACTTCGAAGGTGAATACCAAAGAAGTTTTGCTGAAATCCAAACGGAAGGGTGATATAATTACTTTGTACATCAATCTAATTGTAGGAAAACCTGTTGTATGCATTCTCTCGAAAGAAACATCTGACCTAAGTTGGCTATCGCATCGAAGACTTTCACATCTCAACTTTCAAAACATCAATAAACTTGTTGTTCAAGATCTAGTAAGAGGTTTACCAATACTCAAATTTGATAATGGTTCTTTATGTGCAACATGTGAAATTGGCAAACAACATAAACAAGTTCGCCCATTTACACCTGATTCGAAGATTGTTGAACCACTGGAGCTTTTACATATTGATTTATGTGGTCCTTCGACAGTTTTAACACTCAACCATAAACGATATATATTAGTTATTGTTGATGATTTTTCAAGATTCACGTGGGTTTATTTTCTCAGGCTTAAATCAGAAGTTGCAAAAATGATGATTAACTTTATCAAACAAATGGAAAATACGCTGAAGAAGACAGTTCGAAGGATAAAAAGTGATCATGGAACTGAGTTTAAGAACAAGGTTCTCGATTCATTTTTGGTGGATAAAGGAATTTCGCATAATTTTTCATCTCGATATACACCACAACAAAATGGTGTTGTTGAGCGAAGAAATCGATCTCTATGCGAAGCTGCAAGAACAATGTTGACCTATGCGAATCTTCCACAATATCTTTGGGCTGAAGCAATATCCACTACATGTTTTACTCATAATAGATCTTTCATCCATCGTCATTTTAATATTACTCCTTATGAAATTATCAATAACATAAAACCTAATATGAAATTTTTCCATGTTTTCGGATGCAGGTGTTTATTATGAATCTTAAGGATAATCTTTCGAAATTTCAAGCGAAAGTTGATAAGGGATTTTCCTTAATATTTGCATAATTCTATTGCCTATCGTGTGCTCAACAAACGAACTCGAAAAGTGGAAGAAACATTTAATCTTACTTTTGATGATTATTATGCAAACAATCTGATAAACGTTTTGAAAATCATCCAATATTACAAGAAAACCAAACTGACTCTGAAGATATACAATCATTGGACATTAATTATGATTTGATTATTGGTAATTCAGATTATGCTGCAAATGATGAAATCAATGCTCCTGATAATCATGTCAGTGAAGTTTCAAAACTAACTGATGACTCAACTTCATCTCCTCAAGAAATAGGCGAAAGTATGCATAATGATCCAATGGAGGGGGAGCACTTGGAGTTAAACACTCTAATTGAGAGGGAGCATTCTTTCAAGGGGGAATGAGAGAACAAATGATGATGTTGAGGGGGAGCAATTAAATGATAATATTGAAGGGGAGTTAAATCAAAATGATGAAAATTATCACGATATTAATGATGTTTGTTCGATTGCAGGATCTGAAAAGGAAGAAATGTACGAAGATGCACTTTGGAATTCGATCCAGCCTATCCACCAATGGACAAATGGACAAAAGATCATCCGAAGGAGCAAATAATCGGTCATCCACAAGAAGGAATTTTAACAAGAGCTCAAATTCATGCGAAGAATGTGGTATTAAATGTTCATTAAGAATTTTGCATGTGCAATGTTTTTATCTCAAAAATTGAACCAAAAACATTTAAGATTGCAATGGAAGACTCAGATTGGGTTGTTGCAATGCAATCTGAATTGTCTGGATTTAAACGAAATAAAGTTTGGAGGTTAATTCCTAAGCCAAATGATGTTTCTATTATCGGATTAAAATGGATTTTCAAAAATAAAACCAAAAAAGATGGAAATATTGTTCGAAACAAAGCCAGACTTGTTGTTAAAGGATATTCTCAACAAGAAGGAATTGATTACGAAGAAACTTTTTCGCCTGTTGCAAGACTCGAGGCAGATCGTATATTTTTGGCTTATGCAGCTCACAAAGATCTTGATGTATATCAAATGGATGTGAAATGTGCATTTCTGAATAGAGAACTCGAAGAAACAGTTTATGTGGAACAACCTCCAGGTTTTGTAAACGAAGAACATCCTGATTACATTTATATCTTAGATAACGCAGTTTATGGGTTAAAACAAGCTCCACGAGCCTACTATGTAACTCTTACATCGTTTTTGAAGCAATCTTAATTTAAACAAGGATCAGTTGACCCCACATAATTTCGTAAGAAAATTGGGAATCATATAATGCTTGTTCAAATTTATGTTGATGATGTTATTTTTGGCTCAACTGACCCTCTTTTGTCTAAAGAATTCGAAGACTTGATGAAGAGTAAGTTCGAAATGAGCATAATGGGAAAAATTAATAATTTTCTTGGTTTATACATTCGTCAAAACAGAGAAGGAATTTTCATATATCAAGAAAAATACACAAAGAATCTGCTCGAAAAGTTTGGGATGATGAATAGCACAAAGTTACGAGTACCAATGGCAACCGGCATAAAAGTAACTCATTCGTTAGATAAACCATCTGTTGACCTAACTCTATACAGGAGCATGATTGGATCTTTACTTTACTTAACAACAAGTAGACCTGATATCATGCTTTCTGTGTGTAACTGTGTTAGGTGTCAGTCAAATCCTCGAGAACCACATCTCACTACTGTGAAGAATATCTTTTGTTATCTAAAAGGAACATCTTCGCTTGGATTGTGGTACCCTTCGAATACTGGATTCTTTATTCAAGCTTATTCAGATGCAGATTTGGGAGGATGTAGCCTTGATAGGAAGAGAACAAGTGGTGGTTGTCAATTGGGTGATGGGAAGTTGGTAAGCTGGCAATCGAAAAAGCAGACATGTGTTTCTATCTCAACGGTCGAAGCTGAATATGTTGTTGTTGCTACATGCACTTCACAGATAATTTGGATTCAAAGTCAATTACATGGTTATGCAAATAATATGAAAAAGATTCCTTTATATTGTATTCACAAAGTGTAATAAGAGTTTGTCATAATCATGTGCAACATTCGAAGACCAAACACATTGCTCTTCATTATCACTTCCTAAAAGATCATGTAGAGGATGGGAATATTGAAGTTCATTTTGTGAAAACAACTAATCAGTTGGCTGATATTTTCACGAAAGCGTTAGATGAAAAATCGTTTATGAGGATTCTGGAAGGACTTGGAATGGTTGATGGTAATTCAATTTCATGCGAAAAAGGAGATCGAAGGTTCAATAATGATAATTCACCGACACATCATCAACGGATAAGGTTATTGTTCATAAGTTACTCTTCGTATGCTTCGAATTTGTATGATTGGTAATTTTCATCACATTAACTTCGTAGGATTACAACAAGTACTTTCATTTACTTTGTTTTGTTCTTTATTTTCAAAAAATCAAAAACATCAAAAATATTTTCGTTTTGTTTTGTTCTTTACTTTCGAAAAATCAAAAACAACAAAAAGATTTTATTTCTTCTTTCTTTTAAGTACTTTGTTGTAACTATTCTTAAAGATGTGAAGAGGCAAATACTTTCATATTCTAGGGTCAGGTATAAATTTCTAATCTTTGAATTTCAATTTTTTAAAAACTAGTTAAGATCTCCCTAGAAGCATACTGATGCATGTTGTCCGAAGCCTCGAATTGACTCAATGTTTGAAACCCTTAATGAAAATTTTCATACGAAGATTTCTACCCAATAAGGCTTATATTCACATTATTCCAATGAGCTACCTTACTCTTCTCACATGAGTTCAGAGTTTTCTATTTGGTCCATATATAACAGAGGTACACTTCGGATCTTCACCAATCTTTTTCATCTAAAATTTCTTTCACGATCACATACGAAGACATATGTCCAAGAGGTCTCTGATAAAACCAATCGAGACTTAGACATATCAACAATATGTGTTAATGATCTGACATCATGAGACTGTGATGAAAGTGAAACGCAAATTTCTTGCAAATTAGGGAATTGATGGGGAACTATGTTCCAGACTTTACGAAACTTTTGTTTCAGTACCTATTTTCAAAACTCAAAATCATATTCATTTCATATGAGTGATCTTGATCAAACATTCGAAACCCACGGTGTTTGTTACCCAACAAGATCCAAGAAAAAAAAATTCATGAATATGATTTCCGTGTGAATTTACTTCGAATCCCAAAGTTACATTCAATATTTTTCAAAGGACACGTGTCACTGACTACACTGGTCAAACAAGTAATTTCTGTTACAGTTACTCACCTTATGTTAAGGCTGATATGTAACGAAATTCGTATGCCACACATTGAAACCTTGAAAAAGAAGACCTTTGATACTTATTTACAAGTATTTGATTGTAATTCACAGGAAACTACACAAGTTGTTGATTATCTCTCTTGATAATTAACGAAGCAATATTTGCCCGGGATTTCATCTGTCTTCGTGTTAAATTGTAGGTTTGACATCACTACATATCCAAAATTTTTGTTTTACTTTGCTTCTTATCTTTATTTTGTTGACCCACTGCACTCACGAAATCCTTGAGGTTCTGAGTAACACCAACTCAGGCTGATGATTTCAAACATCTGGCATATGACTTCTCTTTTCATCCCAAAAGTGAAAGAGCCTAACTTCCATCCGAAGGGGTTCCGATGGTTATAATTCCATTGGGTCAATAAATACAGGCTGTTTGAGGAGACGTTTTATATTACTTCCAGTTTTCAAGGCGATGTGACAATTACTTTTTGGTGCAAGGTTACTTTAACATCATCATGATGCATTTTTCTCGGTGACACGTCAGCAAGCATTAAATGCATATCCCGCTTTGATTTCAAATTGAAGAGTTACATATAATAGGGGATTCAAGGGTTCATTAACAGTTTATGCTTTCATCTTACTAAAAGTTTCTCTGATAATCATCTGCTTTCAAACCCTAAAAATGGTGACTGCAATTCCTGATGCTCCTCTTTCTCACACAACTGATGATGTTACTTCTCTGCCGATCATGAAGATTTAGGGTACTAATTACCATGTTGAATCAAATGTTTCTCTGTATCCTGAAGAATTGAAAATGCCGGTGGTTGCTCTTCAAAACTCGGTATTATCAAAGTCCATGTTCAACTCATTTTCTGTTCCTCTTTCTTGGTTATCTCAAGCCGGTTCAACTGCAACATATTCAAAAGCTTTGGAAGCTGTTACATTCAACTTCATCAATGATAAAAAGGTTAGGTTATCAAAGAAGCTTTTCTGAAAAATCCTTTCCATACCGAATTCACCACCATATGTTACTTTTACCTTTCCATAAATCGTACACATGTTCAATGAAATGGGTCATCAACCCCAATTGACAAAGATTAGTGATTTCAAGAAGTCAGGGTTACCAAGTGTATGGAATTTTCTGTTTGGGATTTTTCTCCGATGTTTAACTGGCAGAACAGTTAGGATTGATAAGGGAAGAATGGAGGTGTACGCCATGGTTGCAGGGCTGTACAACGATCTTCAGGTTGATTACTCAACACAATTGTGGAAGGAGTTTCAGAAAAGTATCGAAAACACGAATGCTATTCATGGCATTTCGTGTGCTTGATATTGGAGTATAATTTTGCAACATTTCTATGAAAAAGAAGGTATTTTAGTTCCAGCAGAAGAGGAGAAAGCTGTATTTCACACTAATGGTTGTCCGAAGGATGCAACAGATGAGGTAGATGTATTTCCGTTTGCTGCTGGTATCCCTGACGCCATGTTAAAAAGAATTGATCCTTCCAACCCAGTCTTGGTTTCTTACTTAGAATCCATATATATTTTTTTTGAAACTGGGATTCTCTTACAACAGACAACTGAAAAGAAGTCAAAGAAGACTGATGTTGGGTCTTCGGGTACGAAGGTTACGACATCAAAGAGTACGAAGCAGGTTCCTGTGATCGAACCTAAGCCAATTCAGTCGAAGCCTATTATTCCTGATACCCAGGTAACTGAAAAAAAAGTCATTCCTTCAAAGACTGTTGTATTGAGATGAATCAAGATGAAGTCGAAGCACAAGCGTCGATCATCTATTATGAATTTTGTTCGTAAACCCTAGGTATCTCATCAAGGGGTGATTTTTAGAGAAATACCTACCCCTGCTTCTCCTTCTTCGAAAAACCAATTGGCTGCTGATATGGCAAAACAACTATCAAAGAAGAAAAAGAGAAGGGTGATTCTTACCTCAGAATCTACTGCAGAAGAGGGTGAAACTGTTCCTGAGACACTTGAGACGGTTTTGATTAAATATTCTTCTCGTGTGGATACATCGGTTATTACACCTCCCGAAGTTTCGATTGCCAAGACAGTTACTGTGGAGGCTCGAATTTCAGGCATCCCTATAAACATAACTGATATGGATACAAATGTCATCATGGGTGAGGACGATTCGAATAAAGCAACAAAAGGTAACCCTTCGAATGTGGTTTCAGATTCTTTCATTTCTTTACCTTCACAGATTGCCCCTATCATTCCTATAACATCCACAATAGATTCTCCAACTTTTTCAAACATTATTTCACAACCTTTTACCACTTATTTTCCTTCACAATAAACTGATCCACAAACAACTACTTCTCCAATAAAAGATTCATTCATAGATACTGAAAATGAATCTGAAGGTTTTAGGGGAACTTCTGAGAATCTGGAATTTGATGAGGAGGAAACTGACTTCTCAGATCATATGCTGATGACGATGAAACAATTCAAAATCTTGAATACGAAGCTTAACTATATTATTCAATCTCAAACTGATCTTAGGGGAGGTCATTCTGTATCTAGCCTTGAATTTGATGGCATGCGGACATTACTTGAAGGGAGATTAACCACAAAAGTCTCTGGAATGCTGAAAGATTCAGAGTCTAGGTTATTAGAGAAGATTGATCATTCTGATCAAAATAATGAATTAAGAGTGAATTCTTAGAAGTCTGGATTTGCATCTAACTTAAAAGATTTGAAGGTTGTTGCAAAAGAGAGTCATGTGATCTTTGTCCAGGATGTAAAGAAGGTGTGAGTTGATGTAAATTTCAAAATTCACAAGTTACGAGAAGATATGGAGAGAGAAATTTATGTTGCTCGAACGGAGTTTGATTCCATCAACAAGAAAGTGGACATTATTTGTGAGGCAGTAACGAAGTTTGCAAAGTTATACGAAAGTTTGAACCCTCATATATCTCAGCTTTCAACCAATGACAACAAAATTTTCCTGGAGGTGTTCGCACTTTTGAAGGAGCTTAAAAGTCTATCTTCCAAGTCTATAGCGTCTGTGCTATCTTCGGAAGATCTGATCCAGAAATTTTCTAAATTTGAAGAGTTACTTATCCAACAACTAGCTCCTCTATCACGTGTCTCCAGTTTTCTTCCAACTACTTATGCCCCACCTACTAGCACATGGATGCAAGGGGGAGAAAAAATATTTACAGGATCGAAGACTGAAGGAGGAGATTCGAAAGTGGTGGGGAAGATGTTCTCTTCGAAAATACCAACAATAAAACCTTTAATGGCAACAGCTGGTCCAATCACCTCGATAGCTGTAACAAATGCACCAATTACTAAACCGAAAGGAATGGTGATTGGTAAATCTGCTGACATTGGTGGATGTGCTTCAAAGCCAAAAGTTAATGATGTTGTGTTTGGTTCAAAATCAAAATGTAAAGAAATTTTGATTGAAAAATCTGATGAAAAGAAAGAAAAAGTAGAGGCTGAGGTTGAAAAAATGAGAATGATCCAGAGTATCATGACTCAAAGTGCCAGTGACCCTCCTGGCTTGAACAAAGGTGATCCTTCGAAGCATTACAATTATGAAACAATTGAAGCCAAAGTTGCATTCACTCACATGTACGCATTTGATAAAAAGCCCAAGCAAAGCTATCTTGTCATGAATACAGATGCAGGCCAGCTGGATTTCCCTATAAACGAAATGATGTTTATCATGTCAAAATTCAAAGCTAAAAGCAAATTCAAAGAGAAGGAAGAAGGAACACAGTTGAAGATCAGATTTCATGTTATTCTTGCGAAGCCAGCTGAGGAGGTGTGGTCTTTAACAAAGATCAAGAAAGTGATAAGTATAAAGAAGGATGTGGTCTTCGAAGACACAATCCAAAATTCAAAATATACAGTGGTGAGGGAAAATGGCAGTGTACATGAATTCACAATTGCTGACTTTCCATTGATGAACTTGTATGATCTTATACAAGTTGCATTAATTCTGAAGGAAAGGTCATTTTCTTATTTGCAAAACACTGAGCCGGATGAGTTTAAGTTGGGAGTTACTCACATCAAAATCTTCATTGAAAATTATTATGAATGTTTGGCAATGATAGATGTGGAGTTGGCTACAACAAAGGGTCTTGAAATAAGTGCTCCCATGAATCCTTCAAAGACTCAAGCAGAACTTAAAAGATATGCTGATGGAGAAAGCTGCTTAAAACCTTTTGGTTTAGTCTTTTCTGGGAAGGATAAGTCTGGTAGATCGAAGAAATTCTTGTTTAAAGCTGCTGAAGTAGAAAGATATTCGACTTTTCAATATACGAACTTAATTGTTCATATGAATCATTGCAGGAAGAATAATGAGGGAGACAAGAAGGAGCTTAAGAAGATAATAAGCTGGTACACAGAAATACGAAGATTTATGTTGTATTCAATCCAACTTCTTACAAATTGATGTCTTCAACTCTGATTACAAAGGGTGAGATTGTAAGGGTATTTTGGGATTGTAATGAGTCGAAGTCTTTTGTACTCTTCGTATGGATTATAATATATATTTTACTAAGGTATTGTATTCGAAGCTTAATGTTTAGCCCTTAGTATATTTTTTGTACGCTTTTCTCTCCTATAAATTGGAGTGTTTACTACAGTTAGATAGGGGGCTTTTGACAGAATTATCTCTTATACTCTGTAAATCATAAGGGCGTAATAGAGCTGAACCAGAAATCATATTTACATCGGTGTTCAAATCTCGCAATATTACTTTTGATATTTTGTTACTTTGATTCATTACATACTTGATTCATTGTTTCATTTCACAATTCTTAAGATGATCGTAGAATTCAAGACTTCAGTACTCTCCACACCTATCAGATCAGAGCAAGTTTATCTTTCTGCCCAATTGGTTCTCTACTTCGCTTTGAAATTCTTTGAACACCTCGAAAGTTTCTGACTTATGCTTGATTATATATATATATATATATATATATTTATATCCATATCTACTGAAATCATCGGTAAAATTCACGGAGTATCTTTCTCCATGTCTTGTGGCGGATTTGAAGGGTCCACAAACATTTGTGTGGATGAGGTCCAACAAATCCTTGCCTTTTTCACAGTGATCCGTGAATGGCGCTTTTTTCATCTTGCCAAGTAAGCAAGACTCGCATACATCATTCAATTTGAGGTCAAATGATTCCAATATTCAATCAGATTGGAGCTTGGCAATGCGTTTCTTGTTTATATGGCCAAGTCAACAATGCCACAAACATGATTTATCTAATTCACTATTAGATGAATTAACATTGATAATTAGGTTATCAAAATCAGCATCACAAACAATACTTTCATACACACCTTTACAAGGACTAGCTTTAAAAATAAAATAACCATTCTTATAAACCAAAATGTCACCATTATCATTATCAAAAGAAAACCGACAACCATCCTTATAAAGTGCATGAAAAAAAATAATGTTTCGTGCCATACCAGGCGAGTAGCAACAATTTAATAAAATAAGATAAAAACCACCCCTAAGCATGAGCTCATAGTTCCTAATCCTTGTAATAGCTGACTTGTGCATATTCCACATGATTAGGTTGAACTCACCATGCTTCAAATTCCTACTTTCTCTTAGCCCCTGCATATATCAAAGCAAATGTGAGTACCACATCCTGTATCAAGAATCTAAGAGTTAGAATTTGATGTGCTATGGAATTCTATCATGAACATACCTGAGGTGCTAGCCACCTTGACTTTGCCCTTCTTAAGGTCCTCGAGGTATTTAGGAAAACTACGCTTCTAGTGTCCCTTTTCTTGACAGTAAAAACAAATGGCTTCACTCGGATCTGAAGAAGGAGCTATTTTAGCTTGAGCCCTTTTCTTTGGAGTAGGATTAGACTATCCGACCTTACCCTTACCCTTTCCTTTAGGTTGAGGCACCCTTTTTCTTTTGGAAGAACCACGATCAATAGCTAGTACGTGTAACGCCCATAGATCTAGGCTAGGATTTAGAGATAATAGGGGTCGAAAATGACTTTTTGACAAAAGATTATTTAGAATAAATGATCTTAACCAAGTTGTAGAATATGTCTCAAGGGTTCCGTACATAAAAAGAACACCGAAATTCGAGTTATAACGAAGAGGTTATGGTGCGTCGAAGTTTTACGGCAAAACCGACATGACACCGGGAGACGTAAATAGTGAATTTACGATGGAGGATTTTTTAGCCTTATAAATAAAAACAAAAGTTTTTTTATACGTTAAACCAAGAACATACAAAAAAAGAACGCTCAAATCTGACTTCGTATGAGTAAGTTATAAATTTTCTAAGATTTGGCTTAGCAGTGCACAGCCCGAAACTTGAATTTTAGATCGAGCGGTTTTTGGCCTACGCGACCTAAATAAGAATTGAAGATCTCATTAATAGGAACTCAATGGTAAAAATTCAGACGAAAACAGAGTTTGTATGTAGAAGTTATGAATTTTACGCGGACATTTAACAGTATAATCTCCTCCTACTATTAAAATTAAAATCGGTCGAGAATTAGCCGACAGAGTAAAAAGGAAAGTTGTAGATTTTATTTTTACCTACACGTGGATATAAATAATGTCAAAATTAGAGCTCGTATGCAAAAGTTATGGACGAAGGTTAGTCTCTACTTTTCGAGCGCAGCAAATTCGTTATAGTTTTCTAAATCCGATATAGATTGAGAATTAGCCAATAAGGTCTAAATGAAAGTTGTAGTACTCGTAAATACCAACGCATGGATATAAATATCGACAAAAACAGAGATTGTATGTGAAAGTTATGGATGAAGCTTAGTTTCTACTTTTCGAACACGACGAATTCGATACAATTTTTGTAAATATGAGATAGAAGGAGAATTAGCCGACGGGGTCTAAATGAAAGTTGTAGTACTTGTAAATACCAACGCGTGTATATAAAGAAAGTAGAAAATGGAGCTCTTACGCAAAAGATACGAACGATGCTTGGAGACTACTTTACTATAAAATTCCTATAAATAAGAGATGAACTCTTCATAATTTCTTCACACCATAAGCCTCTCTTTCTCTTTCTCACTTCTCTATAGCCTCCCTAAACCCCTCCGAAGTCTAGGGAACCTCCGTAGCACGTGAAGAAAGCCCCGGAGTACCCGACGGCTCCGAGAAGGAAAGATTTTAGCTCGGAAACGTTGCTCTAGCGAAGCCCATTTTTAATAAAAACCCATTGTAAGTGTGCTACGCCTATACTATATTCAATATACCTTTCATTTAATTATAGTAACATTATTAGGACCTTAAAATAATTATTTGGGCTATTATTATAAGTTATATTGAGTGTATTTA